TCTATCTATCTATCTATCTATCTATCTATCTATCTATCTATCTATCTATCTATCTATCTATCTATCTATCTATCTATCTATCTATCTATCAATTGTGGATGTTAGTTATTGGGGCAAACCTCCAGGTCATGAATATTGAATGGTTCTTCATAAATGTAGGCTGCATCTGCTCCAGATGCCAACCCAGCCATGGTTGCCAGGTAGCCACAGTATCCCCCCATGGTTTCCACAATAAACACTCTCCTCTTGGTGCCAGCAGCAGACTGCTTGATCCGGTCACAAGTCTGCATAACACAAAAAGTTAACTGTAAAAAAGCAATTCAGTAAAAAGGCACAATGTTTTGTAAATTATGTTCATATAATCATGTCACTGCTAGGTTTGAAGTTTACCATGGTTATGGTGTTGAGGGCTGTGTCTGCGCCTATGCTGAAGTCCGATCCAGGAACGTTATTAGAGACAGTAGCTGGAACAACAACAAGGGGAATACACAGTTCCTCGTACTTCTCTCTAGCTTCTACCAACTCCAGACCTCCCAGGAATGCCTGTGAAGCAAAAAACCATATTTACAAGTATAACTTTTAGCATATGCAATGCAGGGCAGAAATTTACACACTCCCCATTATACACCCGATACACTGTCATTTCACTTTAACCTGAGTCTTTCTTCTGCAGCCCAGAGGGGGTGAAGATTAAATACACCCTCACTAGTATTTAGATACAAAACTTTCAACAAAAACAAATACTTTGTAGCCATTAACAATCTTCTTAAAAAATTATCGTCGTGATACCTCACAACTTTTCTTATCACAAATAAACCTCATTTAATTAGTCCTAAGCAACACAGTGCTGCAATGGCCTATTGCTATTTGAAAGTTTATTATTATTGTTTCATTAAGAAGACACGCCATTTTGAAGGTGTAAACACAGAGGAACTAATCAGTAGCCTAACATTTTAAAATGCAAGGTTTTCAATAGAAGGACAGCATTAAAACAATATTTGGAATTAGCAGCCGTTTAGGTGCCCCTAAAAACAGGAAGTCAATTATTGGCCTAATTACTTCACAGCACCCATTATAATCAATAAAACAATGAGCCCCAAGTGATGCTTTGACTAAGGATTTAGAAGTTTGGCACATAACTTCCCAGGACATACAAACCAAGCCCCATAGAGCCATAGTCCAGACCATACAGGTTGTCGACCATTTTGGATGAAAGCTGCCATTTATGTCTCTTTTACTATCATACCAGCAGCAAAGTCCTACAAGAGCTTTTAAGTTACTGACTTCAAAATGACTCTAGAATAGACTCGAGGCATTGGGGATAAAAAGTTATCAAAACATTTTGGGTGGATCAAATCATTTGTGTGTGGCCATTTCTCAAAATCCTCTTGCCATAAAACCTTATGTTGTAAACATTTCCTCACACAGGGTGGCAACTGTACAAGCCTTCCTGTGTGTCATCTCATACCACCACTCAACACATTATCGAGCTCATTTGCTGACATCACTTTAGCCCCAACCACTAAAAAAATAACATATTTCAGAGATCCTCCTCTTACACTCTCACTCATACTGGTGTCATGATGTGTTTGATGACACAGAACAAGGTGTTGTTTAATATCTGTGAACGGTGACTGTTCGCTGGACAATATGGTGAAGATTAACACATTTTTAGTTGCATGGTTGCCTCTATTTTACATGTGCATGTTCCAATATGAATGATCTTTGGCATTCTACAAACAGCTCAGTTAAATCAATTTGGATTTTTACTGAACACAACCCCAAGGATTTTTCAACAGTTATATCTCTCTGATGCATTGTCAGATCTGCAATATATTTTATTTAGTATTTTTCCCTCCAAATGTCTGGACGATTCTGAAGAGAAAGACAAATGACCATTACAGTGACATGCTTCAGAAACAATATGAGTGCAAAACAGCTTACCTCAAAGCCCCCAATAATGACAAGACCATGGATGTTGAATTTTGTGATATTCAGACTGATCTCCTCCAGGAGATCTTTAGGCAGAGTCCTTCATAACAACAATAACAACATCACAGAAGATCGTTGTGGC